GCGCCGCCCTGCCTCCTCCGCCTCGTCCTCGTCGTCCTCGCCCTCCTCCTCGACCTCCTCGACGTCCTCCTCGTGCAGGCAGGAGGGGGGAGGAGGAGGGAGGGCCTGCTCGTGGCAGTGGTCTGCCCTGCCTCGCGGCCTGGTTGCTGCCGTGGCCCGCTTCCGGCGCGATGCCCACGAAGATGTCCCAGTAGCGCTTCAGGACCCGGTCCTTCAAGCGCAGGATGTTCAAGGCGAGCTTCCCCTGGCCCTTGGCGGCCGCGCGGTGCGCATCATGCGACTGGCCGTCAGGGGGGTCCCATTCGGCCCTCGCCCACCCATTGAGAAGAAGGGCGGACCGTTCGTGCTGAGGCAGATGCCTGCCGATGGTGGCCTCGTGGAGGCCCCGGCGCTGCCGCTCATGCTCGGTGGCGTCGCACCGCCACATCAAGTGCCACGTGGTCGCAGCAGTGTGGCAGATGGGGCAGTCATGCGCCACTTCGTCCGTGACGTGGCTGAGGCGGTCTGGAGAAGGCTCGGCGCCAACACAGCATCGCCACCGCCACCTCTGCTCCGCGGCCGTCGGCGCCTCCTCCACGAAGCGCCGCAACGTCTTGACGTCCAAGCTCGGCACCTCGACCGGCACCTTCCTGGCGGTTATTCTGCAGGTCCGCATCATGTGGGCCCGCCACGTCTCGCGGACGCAGTGGTCCAGAAAGCTCTTTGACACCTCCGCGAGGTGGAAGCCGTCACCGCCGAAGGCGACCTCGAAGGGCGACGGGCCGGGGTGCCAGCCCATGGTCTCCAGGACCCCGCGGACCCGGTCCAGCCAGCGCAGGCCGCTGCCGTCGCAGTGGTCCCACCGCGCCTCCACCGCGGGCCCCACGTGGGTGCGGGCGACGCGTCTGAGCATGCTCACGGTGCTGGAGAGCGCGAGGCCGTCGGGCTCGAACTTCCAGGCCTTGTCCTCCATGCACCATGCCGCGCCCTTGTGGCGCCAGGCTGCGTGCCTGCGTCTGCTTTCCAGTGCCAACTCCATGGCAGACCGGACGCGGGTCACGGTCTCCTTGGGGAACGAGCACCACGGCGCGTCCCACCGAATGCTGCCCGCCAGGGCCATGACGACCCGCTTCCTTGCCCTGCGCCCGAGGCGCGCTGCCTTGGCCACGGTGCGCAGCCGACGCAGCTTGTCGAGCAGGTTGGCCACCCGCTTCCTGGCTCGCGGGGCGGCCGCTGGCGGCTTCCGGCCAGTGAGATCCAGCCGCACGCCGAGCAAGTCGAGGTGGTCCTTGTGCTGGCCGCCGGCGACGTTCACCGCCGCCCTGTCCTGCTTGCTGTCGTCCTCCTTCTGGCCGCTCAGCTCGTCCAGGCGCCTGAGCAGGGCTTCGGCGCCGTCCAGGGTGTCCCTGTCGTTGGCGTAGGTGGTCCGGTCGTCCACGTAGGTGCCCATTCCCACATCGAAGACGGAGCAGACCTTGCGCGCGTGGGCGCCCGCCAGGATAGCTGCGCCGAGCGGAGAGGCGGGGTCGCCTTGTGCCAGGCCGCGCAGCACCAGGGGCAAGTCGCTGGCGTAGCCGCTCACCTTGACCACCGTGTCGCGGCCGACATTGTTCATGAAGAGGAGCACTGCGTCCTTTCGGTGCATGCCGAAGAGCACGGCAACCTCGACCACGAGCTCCGGCTGGATCCGCGTGAAGCAGTTCGAGAGGTCGCTCTGGCGAATGTGCAGCGGGGTGCCCTCGTGGGCGGCCTTTTCGATAGCGAGGTCCACCGTGAGCAGGATCTCGTGCGCATCCGTGGGCTGGACCTGGCTGGCCCACTGCTTGTACTTGCTGACAGCGACCCTGCTGATGGCCCGGGCGACAGACTGGGCGACGCCAATAGGCCGCAAGTCGGGCTTGTCACTGGTCTTTGGGATCATGGTCACCTCCTGCGCCTTGAGGGCCGCGGGCCAAGTCCCCGTGTCTCTGATGGCGTTTGCCAGGTCTGCCAGGAGGTCCAGCACGATGCCAGGGGCCTGGGCGAGCTGCTCTGCTTTGATTTGCCCGGGGCCCGCCGCAGTGCCGGCGGTCTTTCGGAGGGCGGCCCGGAGCTCCGGCGCCTCGAACATCCAGCCAATGTCCGGCGGCTCCACGTGCTCGACAACGTCCCTCACCTCCCGGAGGTAGTCGCCGATCTGGTGCTGCTCCAGACGCGGGTGCTGCTTCTTCTTCCACTGTCGCACAGCTGCCGCGACGATGGCCTTGGGGTCGGCCGTGGGCCGGCCACGCTGGTCTGAGGCCGCCTTCACAGAGAGCGGGGGCCTGTCGGCCACGTAACGGAAATTTGCCTTGAGGTCTCCAGCCTGCTGCCGCTCCCTCCACGCCGCGAGCCGGCGCTGCCTGTTCTCCTCGGCCAGCTGCTGGAGCTTCGCGAGGATCGTTGTGCGGAGCGCTGCCAAATCCTCGCCGTCGGCCGCGGTGCCCTCGCCCAGGACGCCGTCGTCGACGAGGCTCTGTACCCCGCTGCGGATATTGCCAAAGAGGGAGAGGCCGTCGGAGCCGGCCCGGGGCCCTTCGAGGGCGTGGTGGACACGCCGGAGCAGCCTGTGGAGACGTCTCTCGACCACCGTCTGCCGCTGTCCGTCTGGGCCCTTGCAGACCCGTTCCCAGCGCTTGAGCACGGTGCCATGTTTGCGCCGATGCCTGTTGCCCGGGACGCCGGCGGAGTCCTCGAGCATGTCGCACCAGAGGGCCCACATAGCTTCCACATCCTGGCGGGCCGCTGCACCGTCCCACTCGTCTCTGCGCTTGTCCATGGTCTGGGAGAAGGTCTCGTCCCAGTCCTCCGTCGCGAGCGGCGGGTTGAGCTCGTCGAACTTGACCACGGTCTGCACCTGCGTCCGGAGCTCCCGCCAGAGCTCAAAAACGATCGCGTCGTGGTCGCTAATGGCCGTGTCCGTGGCGAAGGTCTGGGCCTCCAGCTGCTGCAAGCAGGCGAAGTCCAGGAGCCTCTCCCCGTGGGTGGTAATGTCCTGAATGTCCAGCATCTCGTGGCAGTAGTTCATGTCGCGGAAAGCGAAGAGCTCGGAGTCGTAGGGCTCGCAGTTGAAATCCCCCACAACGATCGTCGGCAGTCCTGCCTGGGCGGCTCGCGCGGCCACGTCGTCGTAGAGGCTTGCGCGGTTGTCCTGGCTGTTGACGTCTCCGTAGACGACGACGATCAAGACGTCGGCCTGGCCCCGGACGCTGAGGATTCCAGAGACCACTCGGCCTTGGTGCCTGCCGCCCCACGCCCAGGGGTCCTCGCGGAGCTCTGGCGGGCCAAGGAGCGCCACCCCAGCCGAGCTGTTTGTGCCCGCGGACGTGTAGCAGCTGTCGAAGCCCCCCGCCCTGGCCTGCGCCACGAAGCGTCTGGAGCTGAAAGTGTCCATGTGCGTCTCCTGCAGCGCGCACACCTGGGCCCGATGCTCGGCGAGCTGGCCCAAAACCCTGTCCCATTTTCCCGTGTTCACACTGCCTTGCTGGCAGCGGTCCGGGCCTTGGTCTTTGAGGCCGTTGACGTTGCACGACCACACTCGGAGCTGTCCGTCGGAAGCCTGCCGCGGCCTCCCTGCTTGGGGCGGTCCAGGATTGGACGCCTCCCCCACGCGCGTGGCGTGGTGCCACGGCCAGTGGCCGACGTGCCTGCTGGAGTGGACGCGCCGGCCGGCCGTTTGTCAGCAGCCGGCCGCTGTGGCAGCCCCGCTGGCCGCCGCCCTGGCCGCGAGCCTCCGCTTGCGGTTGTCCTCGGCCCTCTCCGCGTCCGTGCGGTCGAGTTTCCGCTTGTGCTGCCACGCCAAGTTCTTCGCGTTAGACTTGGCGGCCTGCCCGGCCACGTTGTCCTTGGCGGCTTGCCCAGACAAGCCCTTGGCTGCAGCCCGCCACTCCCACAGCGTGGGGAGGTCCAAGGGCCCGCCGCCTTTCTTCTGCCCGAGCGGCCTCTTGCCCGCCGCAGGGCACGGCCTTTCCCAGACCCTGTTCCTTTGGACGTATGCGTCGCACCGCGTGCACTTGAAGGCCGTGAGCTTGCAGCCGATCGTGTTCTTGGTGCACTGCTGGTCCGTGCGGTCGAGGTCGCAGCACTTCGCCTTGAAGTCGCCCGTCATGGTGCCCATGCGCCCGTCGTACTTCGCCCAGGCGGCTGCGCTGCAGCCGGCCACGTGGTTGCCCCGATACTTGGTGAGTAGGGCTCTTTTCTTCTCCGCCGGCAGCCGGGGCCACCTCCGCCCAGGCTGGCACGCTGACCAATGTGCACGTGCAAGGTCGTTGCTGGTCTTCCAGTCCGCGCCCGGGCTCGGCCGCCAGCCGCAGGGGCAGGCATAGCTGTCTCCCCGGAGCGGGTGTGCAAGTGTACACCTGGTGAGCGCCGCGTCGTACTCGATGCGCTTCTCATTGACGGCTGCTCGAGTGGGGGCCCGGCCGCCGGCCCTCGAGGAGTCCAGCCACTGATGCATCTGAGCAGTCAGCCCGTCCATCTCCGCTTTCTGGGCTGCGGGAAGGGCCCGGTCCTCGTGCGAGTACGCCGCACGTGCAGAGCAGAGGAACGTCTCGAACTCCTCGCACGCAATCTGATCGTCTGAGCGGGCCCTCGCGAGCCTGCGTCGGCCACCCTGCCGGCCTCGAGGCGGAGGGGGAGCCAAAGCCAGCGCCAGCGGCCCGCCCTCGGAGGCCTACGGCCGGCCAGAGAGCCAGGAGAAAGCTGCCGTAGAACGGGGCGAAGCTGCGCCCGCGGAACTCCGCGCCTTCGTAGTCCGTGCACCGACCGGCGCGGCACCCTTGATGCTGCTGTTGCACTCGGAGGCACTTCCGGAGAGCCACGAGAAAGCCGCCGTCGACAGTGCAGGTGGAGTTTTTCGAGCTGCGTCCAGCCGTGGCTCCGAGGAAACCCCTGCAGCCCGCGACGTCCGCGCGCCGGGCTGGCCACGGCCCGCCGCGCTGGCCGGCCTCGCGGCGTCCCTGGCGAAGGTGTCCTCTGAGAGCCAGGAGAAGGCCGGCGACTGCGGGGCCTGCGCCGGCGTCCTCGCGCTCCCTGGAACAGCTCGTCCCCCTCCACCGCCACGACCGCCTTCATCACGTACGTCGTCGTGTCCAGATTGGAGGGGAGGAGTAGAGGAGGAAGTTGTTGATGCTCGTGGCCGAGGCGCCGGGGCGTGGGCCCGCGCCGCCTTGCTGCCGCGGCTGCCAGCCCGGCTCCGCGTGGCCCAGGAGAACGCCGTAGCTGGTGAGGCTGCCTGCTGCGCGTGCCGGCCGGCGCCGGCGGGGGGTCGCGAGCGCGCCCTGCTGCTCGTGGAGGCCGGGGGTGGCACCGAGCGGCCGCCTCCTCTGCCCTTGCAAGGCATGCTTCCCCCCACGTCCTCGGCGAGAGCCTCCGGCCAGCCAGAAGCCACCGGGCGGACTGCCTGGAAGTGCTCATTCACGAGCGTCAAGACGAACCACCCCTTCTTGCGGAACTGGTCGCCCAAGGTCCTCCTGGCCCATCCGTTCTTGTCGTCCCGGTAGACGACCGTGATCATCCGCTTGAGCCGCGTCGCGGTCGCCGTGAGCTGGAGCTCGTCCATGTAGAAAGCGTTGTCCGTGCACTTGTTCAGGTACTCGGCCCACGTGCGTCCCGTGTGGCTCGCGGCCTTAGGGTCGAAGCACCAGTACGGCTCCCACACGTCGGGGTTGTTGGTCATCTGCTGGACCGTCTGGACCCGGAGGGTGCCGGCCTCTTTCATGATCTTGTCCAGCACCTCCTGGGAGCTGAGATCGGCCGCGGTGTCCTTGGCCATCTTGCCCGAGCCCACCACCGCGCAGTAGCCGCATGCACCCTTGCCGCCGGTTTCGACCACCTCGTAGCCGTCGAGGATGCACGTCTTGTCCTTGATGACGTTGTTGCCATCGAGCCTGAGCCGCTTGTGGGCCCGGTCGCCGTCGTCCGCGCCCTTGCCCTGCTTGGTGGCTGGGTCCCGGGGCGGCTGCTGGCCCTGCTGCTTTCCCTGTTGGTCGGCGCCCTGACCGCCCGCGGCCGCTGCCGGCGCGGGAGGGCCTCCAGCGCCAGGCTGATCCTTCTTGTCCGCGTCGTCCATGGCGACGTCGTCGTCTGGCTTGGTGTCCTCGTCGTCGAGCCAGGGGAGCGCGGGCCTGCGGAGCTGCTTGCCCACCGTCTCCTGCTTGACCTTCCGCGGCATTGGCAGAGCAGTGATCTTCTCGGACGGGTCGGCGCCCTCCCACATGTACGAAGTGCTTTCCGCGGGCCGCGCCTTGGCGCGGAACCGCCAGACACCGTGCCCCAGGTCGCCGGTCACCTGCGGCTCCGTCCAGCCGTTCCCTGTCAGGAAACTCTCCAGTTGATCTGAACGCCACCACTTGGGAGTCGTGGCCTTCCAGACGAAAGGCGGGGACGCTTTGACGTCTATCCCCGCTCGTTCGAAGCCGAGGTCTGGCCCGCCGCCGATCCGGTGGACCAGCGGGGCGCCCGCTGCGGCTTGGAGGGCAATCTCGAGGTACTCCTTGTCCGTGCTGTCCGCTGGCCGCGGCACCCACGACACCGTAGTGCGCGCCATCTTGTTCCTGTTCGTGGCGAGGTGCCCCACGAAAACGCCCTTCTTGCCGCTGATGGCAATGAGGGCGTCGACCTGCTCTTTGGTACCAGTGACGTACATGTTGTAGCTCTGGGCCTCGTCGTGCGAGCCCGTGGGCCGCCAATTGCCCAACTGCATGCCTTTCGCCCCGGCCGGCCAGACCTGCTTGAGCAGGGCGTTGGCGTTCCCCAAGCTCAGGGCGTCCATGTACTTATCGAAGACCGTGAGGCGCACGGTGATCGTGTCCACCTTGACTGGAAGCTTCGCGGCGCTCTGGACGACCGGGCCGGCAGGTCCAGTGACCTCCTTGCCGACCGTGGCCAGGGCGACCAGCTTGATCTGAAGCTTCTCGTTCGGCTCCATCTTGGACAGGGTGATGTGCTTGGTGGCGGCGCGCGCCGCCCCTGACGGCTTCCAGGAGACGCCGGCCACCGGATTGACCACGACACCCACGGTGAGGCTGGCGTCCTTGGCGGCCTCCTCGCCCGCGCTGTTCTCGCCGAAGTGCTGCCGCCAGAGCGCGAGCATCTCGTCGGCCTCCTCGACGGTGTCGGCGAGGGTGGCTGTCTGTCCCTTGCTGGGCAGCTCGGCCTGCCTGAGCTTGCCGAGCACGGCGCCGGCCCGGCTGAGCGTCGCATCCGGCCAGTCGCGCTGCCAGAGCGACCAAGCGCCACTCCCAGTCTTCGCGGGAGGCTTGCCGGTGCCGTTGTCCTTGCCTTTGCCGCTGCCGTTGGGGTTCCCGGAGGCGGTCTTGTCCTTGGCTTTGGCGCCCGTGGCGCCGAGGTTGGCGGCCTCGCCGCCCTTGCCCTTGCCGCCGCCGCTGCTGTGAGCCGCGGCGGCGCCCTTGCCTTTGTTGTCGCCCGCCGGAGGGGCGCCGCTGCTGTTCCCGTCCGCGCTCAGGGTGATGTGCCCGCCGTCCACTGCCTTGAGGATCTTCACGAGCTTGCCCTTCAGTGCGTTGTCCGTCCGAGCCCTGCCGAGAGCGTCCTGCAACGCCTCTCGCAAGGTCTGTTTGCCCCGTCGCTGCTGCGGCTGCTGTGGCTGCTGCGGCGGCTGCTTGGGGGGCGCCTGCGCTGGAGCGCCCAAGAGTAGGCGCAGCCCCTCGAGGAGCTTCATGTCCTCGGCCTTCGGCTGCGTGGCCTTGCGGCCGCCGCCCAGCAGGCGGGAGGCCGCGCCCTTCCTGAGGATGCCACGCTCGCTGAAGGCGTGGTTGTCGAATTCAGGCTCAGTAGCTGCCTGTATGCTGCAATTGACCGTGCAATCCGAATTGAAAGAAAAAGTACCTGTGCATGGAGCTGAGATTCGATCGGCAGCCTTGCCGTCGTGGTTGTCCCTGACGACGGCATGACCAGGAGCGTTGGGATAGCCAACGCTGATGCAGCCAACGCTGGAAGGGTCAACGTTGGTAGAGACGATGTCGTGCATGCTGCTGTCGATCTCGAGCTGGCACTCCTGCTGGAGCGCGTGATTGACGTCCTCGGCACACTCCAGCGGCCCCGAGAGGAGCCCCACCTTCACCAAATCTGGGAGGTACGTGCCGTGGAAGGCGTTCTTGGAGGTCAAGCCGTTCGGCAGCTTGGCCGCCACCGGCGCCAGGGACCCCTGAAGGCTCATTGTCCGTGGAGCCGCGCGCGGCTCGGCCCAGACCAGCTTGAGTCAGAATGGCTGCGGAGGGTCAAACTTAGAAGAAACAAAAAGCATAAGCACAAACTTTTCGAGCTCCGCGCGGACTTCTTGGATCTGCGCTGGACTCCCCCCCATGCGCGCGGAGCGCGCCAGGGGCGGCGCCGGAAGCGCCGCCAGGGGGGACCCAGCGCGGATCCAAGAAATCCGCGCGGAGCACCACAAGTTTATGTTTATGGCTTCTTCCTTCGTCGATCGAAAGTAGCTCCAGCTTTGAGAAGCCATCCCGAAGCCCTGTTTGGGCCCTCGTTGGCCCGCTCGGGGCCCTCCCGGAGCCTGCCTCTTGGGGTCATCTGGGGGCTGCTACCAGGCCTGCGGTCCGCTGCTGCCGCCAGCCGCGCCCCGATGGCACTGGGCAGGCCATGGCCGTGGTTTGCCGAGGCCGCTCCCGAAGACTCACCACGGGGTGCCGAGGCGAGGCCGCGGACGTGAGCGCCTTCTTCTTCGGCGTTTCGACACTGGATGGAAGGGGGGGGGGTCTGGCTCTGGACCTCTGCTTGATGCGACAGTTTGGAACCGTGCGTCCTCTGGGGAAGACCCCACTTGCTCGAAATACGCACCCACAACAGCCAACCAAGATCTACTCCATGTGGGGGGGGGGACCAGAGCCCGCGCCGATCACAGCGAAACAAGGAATTAGAAACCGATCATCATGGAGTTCGCGGCCGCCTGCTTCAGACTCGCGGGACCACGAGGTCGAGCACGAACAACAACGGGCCACGGACTCCGAGGCGCTGCGCCGGGGGGCCTCCGAGAGGGAGAGAGCGGCCAGCAGCCCTCAGCAGCGTGCCTTGTGTTGCTTCGGCGAGAAGCAGGAGGAGGAGGAGGAGGAGGAGGAGGAGGAGGAGGAGGAGGAGAGAGGTGGGAGGAGGAGGAGGAGGAGGAGGGGGAGGGGGAGGAGGAAGAGGAGGAGGAGGAGGAGGAGGAAGAGGAGGAGGAGCAGGAGGAGGAGGGTCCACGGAGGGGCCGCGAGCGTGAGCGGGGCCGCACAGGGGGGGGACGAGGCGCCACGGGCCACAAGCTGCTGCGTGGTGCCCTGCAGCCCCAGCAGGGGCCCACGAGGCCCAAAAGGGTCACAGTCCGAGGAGTACCTCTCCTCCTCCTCCTCCGCCCTCCTCCTCCTCCTCCCTCCCCCCTTCCTCCTCCTCCTCCCCCTTCCTCCTCCCCCTTCCTCCTCCTCTCCCTTCCTCTCTCCTCCTCCTCCTCTGCTCCTCCTCCTCCTCCTCCCCACCTCCTCCCCTCCTCCTCCTCCTCCCCCTTCCTCCCTCCCCCTCTCCTCCTCCCTTCCTCCTCCCCCTTCCTCCTCCCCCCCTCCTCCTCCCCCTTCCTCCTCCTCCCCCTTCCTCCTCCTCCTCCTCCTCCTCTTCCCGCCCGAAACTCCTCCTCCCAAACTCGGGGCTCCGCTGGGAGGAAACGCTCCTTCTGTGGAGCGCGCTGAGATCTGGCATCCTCGAGGAGACACTCTTTCTTGATCAACGCCTGGGCCGCCCCCAGACCCCCGACGCAGTGTTTTTTCTTACGACGTGGACCCCCAAAGACCCCCGACCCCTTCCCTGGACCGGCTTTTCCTCCCGAGCCGTTCTGTGGCGGCCCCTGGGGCCCGGTGAGGGCCGCCGGCAGGTGCAAAGCTGCCCCGAACTTCCCGCCCGGCTTTCTGGTGCCCAGTGGTGCCCAAAGGTTTCCCTGAGCGCACGTCCGAACCGACCATATATATATAATTGTATACACATGCTTGTGTATGTGTACATGTGTACACACATACCTGTCTATACGCAGTTGCAACACTACAAGTATACATACATGCATGCATGCACACATACATACATGTATACATACAGACAGGCAGGCAGACATACAGACATATATACACATATACATACGTGCATACATACATGCAGGCCGTTCATACACACATACCTACATCGATCAATACACACATACATACATGCATGCATACAAACATACATGCATGCACACATTCATTCATTCATTCATTCATACATACATACATACATACATGCATGCATGCATGCAAACATACATACACACATACATGCATGCATGCATACATACATGTATGCATACATACATACACACATACATACATACATGCATGCATGCATGAGTGCATGCATGCATGCATACCTACCTACCTACCTACCTACCTACGTACATACATACATACATACAGACATACATACATACACACATACATACATACATACACATACACACATAGGTACATACATACATACATACATACATACATACATACATGTATAAACACATGCATCAATACATATATACATACACACATACATACATATATACATTATAACCTATACCTGTACCTATACATATACATATACATACATCATCATGAGCACCGACATCTCATCATCAGCGTGGTCGTAGATATCGTCGTCAACATCATCAAAACCATCAGGATCACCATCACCAGCATCATCGTCACCTTCGTCATCATCATCGTCATCATGTATGAGGGCCTATCGGGGAGCTGCCCGGCAAGCATTTTCGGACGCATGGTTGGGGCGGGGGGCGTAAGCCTGAGGAGCCATGTTCCCGCAAGGTTTCCTGGGAACATGATTTGTTGGGGGTGTCGTTGGGCGCCTCCGGAGGCTTCGGGGCCTGACGCGTTTTTAAGTGTGGCGGCAGGTAGCGCTGCTTGGGACTCTCGTTTTTTTTCCTGGCAGGCGTTTAAGGAACACGGTTTGGGCAGAGGGCGGCAACCCGAGAATCATGTTCCCAGTAATCTTTCCGGGAGAATGATTTGCTGGGTTCTCTTAAGAGGGGAGTCTCTGGGGGCTGACCGAGGGGCCCCTTTTGGCTTTGTCGGCAAGCCTATTGGAAACAAAATTGGGGCGGTGGGCGGAAGCCCAAGGAATCATGTTCCTGGAAAGCTGTGTGGGAAATACGATTTACCGAGGTGCCTTGGGGGCCCGCAGCGGGCTTCCTTGGGGGCCTCTTGGGGGCCTATTGGGGTTTCCCGGGGGCCTCTTGGGAGCCTCACGGGGCTTCTTGGGAGCCTCTTGATGGCCTCCGGGGGCGTCCTAGGAGCCTCTAAGGCCGGAGACATGGAATGTCGCGCTCTTCGGGCCCTCTTGGGTCGCTCATGGGGCTCTCTTGCTGGCTGCCTTTAGGGCGGGGTTTTGGAGCTCAACTGACTCGCTCGGTTTTTGCATCATCGTCATCATCGTCGTCATGATCCTCATCATCGTCCGCGTCATCGCCATCATCATCACCATCTCCTCATCGTCGTCGTCATCATTATATCCATCATCATCTCCTCGTCGTCGTCATCATCATGTGGTGATGATGATCGAATGATGACGTTGATGATGATGCTGATGATGACGGTGATGATGAAGCCGGTGATTGTGATGATGATGGCGATGATGATGATGACGCTGACGATGATGAGGATGACGATAACCTTTTTTCGGGCTGCGCGGGCCGCGCGGAGTATTGTCGCATTCTAATCGGATTCGGATGCTGTTGCAGTCTAATCGGAATCGGAAAGCACCTCAGCCTCCGTGGAAGCGGGCCACCGCATTTCGTCAAGCACCTCCGTGAGGTCGGGCAGCGCCACGGGGGCCCGTGCCAGGTGATCGGCCACGACGTGGTTCACGGCGGTGAAGAACTCCTTCGGGCCAGGCGCGGCGTCGATCCTGCGCGCCCTGTACTCCCGAAAGACGTCGGAGCGGATCATCGCGGCGATCTGCAGCCTGCGGTCTCCTACGTGCTGTTGCAGCTCGTGGTGGGTCGCGAAACAGTCCTGGCAGGCCGCGGAGGCGTGGTGGTGCACGTTGTGCTCGAGGGAGGACAGGGTGCCCATGTAGAAGGACCCAGGCATTTGCTCGAGGGTGACGAACCTTCCGCAGAAGGCTGTGCTCGAGGGTGACGCCCCATGTGCTCCCAGGACCCCTGGCATCCTCACTTGCACGGAGCGCGTCCCGAAAAGCGTCACGGCCGCGTGCAACAGGGATCATCCGCCATCTGTGTGCAAACCATCGTCCCGTGCGCCTGGTTGCATGAGCTGGATCGATGCGTACGCGAACGCGTTGTCGGCGAAGTGCTCTGTCATGATGGGCTGTCCGTTCTGCTCGGCGATGGCATCTGGCACGCCGTCGGCTATGACTGCCTCGCGCATTTTGTCCCCCAGCTGTTGCAGCCACGGGCGCATCCTTCTTCCGCGCCGCTCGCGCGAAGGCGGCGAGGTGGGCCGAGGGGGCGACCTTCAATTCCGTGTCCTTGTTGAGGCTGCGGCACTTCGGGAGGCTTTCGTCGTCCACGATGCCTGGGACTTCTGTTTTGAAGCCCTTTGCCGCCTCGTCACCTCGGACGCATTTGGAGACGGTTGCCCCCGTGTCCAGGCGCTCCTCGGCCAAGTTGTGCAACAGTTGTGCCGCCGCGGGTCTCTCTGCAAGAAGCGGAACAAGTCTGGGTCCAGCTCCGCCTCCGCCATCGTGCCCGCGCCGTTTTTCCCCTGCGCCATGGAGATGCGCACGTCGAGCTGGGCGCCAGCCAGCTGCAGGAAGCGACGCGCCCTTAGACGGCTGATTGTCGCTCTGGCGCCAGGGTGCCAAAGCAGGCAGCTCTCGGCGGCCTTCAACAAGTCTGGGGGGCAGCCTGCAAGTTCGGCAACGGGCCAGCGCCCTCGGCCGTCGAGTGGCTTCGCTGTTTCAGCCTTTAGCCAATCCTCGCCCGACCGCTTGAACCACTTCTTAAAGAAAGGCAGGTTGTCCAGCCACGGGGCGGGGTCCTCGTAACCGTAGTCTCCGGACCCTGGCTCCTCGCCTGGGATCCCCAAGACCTCCCTGAAGGTATCCACGAAGTCTTCCGGGTGCACCCATGGCTGCCCGATCGCGCCGAAAGGCTCTGGTTGGAACAACACCTGGCGCGTGTGCAAC